CCCCGCTCACCTGATCCCCCCTGCAGCAGGGAGACTCAGGGCCCAACATTCCACTCCCGGTCCTGGGACACGACCGGTAGTCTGAAAACCCCTGGCATATGGCACAGTAGAGGGGCAGGCTCAGCATTGCAGAGGAGTTCACATAGGGCATCTGGGAGATGCCAAAGAGGTGTTGCAGAAGGGCACAGCCATACTGGGCCGTGCCATTGGCCCAGCTAGGCTGCAGCAGGGAGACTCAGGGCCCAACATTCCACTCCCGGTCCTGGGACACGACCGGTAGTCTGAAAACCCCTGGCATATGGCACAGTAGAGGGGCAGGCTCAGCATTGCAGAGGAGTTCACATAGGGCATCTGGGAGATGCCAAAGAGGTGTTGCAGAAGGGCACAGCCATACTGGGCCGTGCCATTGGCCCAGCTAGGCCAGTAGCTGGTCTTCCGACAGCAGCCAATGCCATCATCCAGCTTCTGACAGTCAGAGATTAAGGATGCCCAGAGCATAGGATTGCATCCCTGGTTAACTTGATTAATACTTATTGATGGACCTGTCCTCCATGAATTTAGCTAATTCTGGTTTGAACCCTGCTATAAACTTTGGCCTTAACAATATCCTCTGGCAGTGAGTTCCACAGGTTGACTGGGCATGAGCTAGCTTGCTGGAAATGTCCTGAGAGCACAGATAAATGTGCTTGCTGGAGACGGATGCACATTGGGTATATAAACAGGTCTGCCCAATACAGAGGGTGCACGTGTAAGCTCTCCATTCCCTGTAAACTGAGCGATTGGGCAGCTGCCCAGGAGAGATTCAAATGCAGCCCAGCTGATTAGCAGAGCACCCACAGCCGGCAGCATGTGTTTCTACTGGTGGTGCACATCTGCACGTTTTGGTGCGCATAACAAAATGTGTTCCACACATAAATGGAAATATTAGAGGAAACATTGGTGGAGATCCGTGTTGGGATCGTGGTGTGTGATGGTGGAGGTATGCATCGCAGGCCATGTGATTCAAGCACAATTTGCAGGGGTCGGGAGCAGAGTGTGCTGGCTTTGTATGCTACAGTGTGATTCTGGCTAATGGGCCAAGTCGAGGGAGTGAAGATGAACCCCATGCTGGGCGCTGACACAAGGTGTAAGTTACAGCAGCTCTGATGCCCATTCTGACTTGAACCTCATGAGCGAGCAGACAGACGCGATTTCTCACAGCAAGTCGCGCTTTGTCCGGCTCTGAACTTGCTTCGACTGGGGCGCCTGGCTTCCTGCAGGCTGGATCAAGGAATGCTCTACATCCCGCATGCTGAAATCGGGGTCAGGGCTTGGAAATTCCCCCAGGGCAGTGCTGCTGATCAGTCATGTTGCTGCAAATCTACCCCCTCTGCAACCCAGCCGCAGAGTGTCAGCCTCTGGGAAGGCATCCAAGCAACGGCAGGGGGCGAGCAAGCCGTCACGCTGCCATCCCGGCCTTGTTTTTAGCAAGCCGTCACGCTGCCATCTCGGCTTTGTTTTGGAAACCGAAGTGCGGAAGGAAGCCAGCGATGGAACAGAGACCTGGGGGAAGGGACTGCTTCCCACGGTGTAACCATTAGCCAGGAAAGCAGCCCAGTGACCGCGGGGTTAGGTGGCTGCCTAGGCTAGAGGGAAGGATGATTAATAACAGAACTGTGGAGGGCGTACAGGGAAAAATAATAGTTTCCCACTGCACTGGAATAGACAAGCGAAAGCTGCTTCCTGCGGCTGCACTTAGTGTCAGTGCACTAAATCATGGGATAACGAGGGGCTGGTCCCACTAGGGAACGCTCCCCTACCTCGCCTCGACATGCGACAGAGCCAGAGCCATTCCAGCCGGCTACCGCAACCCGATTCAGGGTTCATTCCCTCCCACATCAGGGGCCTCTCCCAAGGGCCTGGCTGTCTGTCCCAGCTCTCTTAATTCCTTACAAGCAGCCATGGCTCAGCTCGGAGTCCAACCCACCTCCGCCCCGCTTTTCAAAGCTCTTTCAGGCTCATTGGTTGAGCCAGAGAAGTCCTGTTATCTCCAGCTAACTTTCCAAGGTCTCTCTCCATACTCCTTCCTTCAGTGGGAAAAAAAACCTGGTTGTATGGATGGGTGAAGTTCAGTAGACCCCAGCATTGCTTTGCCGGGTACTGAAAAGCAGCTACCTCTGGGATGGAACTGCTCATTTCCCTCCCTCCTGAGTAAAGGCTGGAAGGTCCTCTTCTTACATGCACAAGGCTCCATATTGGTTCGGTAAGGCCATAAACATACATCACGAAGCACTCATTATACTGGTTCCGCCTAGGCACTCAAGTGTTCCATGTGGGTAAAGGAGCAAAGGCTCTGGATCAAAGAATTATGCAGGTTCTGTATGGGAAAAGAATCCAGCATGATATAGGTAAATGCCCTACAGACACCATATGAGTTCTGGTTCCATATAGGTTTTGTATGACCAATTGGGCCATGTCTTGATAGAAACACCAGCACAAATTTCAGGTCCCGTGTGAAGGCACCGGCCCATCAGGACATTCTGCCTGCCCTGTGAACAGCCCTGCCCCATCTCCCTTTGGTTTTGTTTCAGTTCTCTCCTCCTGCTGATGTCCCTGCTGAGCCCCGCATGGCCCCGGAGAGACAAACCTCCCTGCAGCGGGCCACTAGCTGGCCTCCCACCCACCTCCTCTTCTTCCGACAGTGACTCCGGCTGCGCCCTGGAAGAGTACTTGGAACCTGCGGCCAACGCTGCCCCGGCACAGGTAGGCAGGGCCCTGTCGTCAGCCCAACAGCTCTCCCCTCGAATCGGAGCATATGCTGGTGCATCGCTTCCCCCACAATCCACTCTGCCACTGCTGGGCCTTTCCCTGCCAATCGTTCAGCCACCTGCGGTAGTTGACGCCCAGCAGCAAGCAGGAGGGCTGACACTGGTCCTGTTGAAACCTCCCATTCCATCAGGGCGTCGCTCCTGGAGTGACACCCCAGAGGAGTACAGAGGCTATAGCAGGGCTAAGGCTACGGTTGTGGGGTGCAGTCTTGCTGGGCTTCTTGAGGTGCTTGTGTCGTGCCTGCTACAGGAGAACTTTGACGCTGGACTGTCAAGGCAGGGCTGAAAGGGGACTATGCCAACTGCTCTTCGGCAGCCTTGCCCACCGTGTTTAGTTCAGGCCTGGGCTTCTCCAGAAAGCCGGCTGCTCACATGAAGAAACAAAACTTCCAGGCATAGCCTGGGACAATCCAACACCTTTTCTTTCTTTGGGACCAGGTCCATGCCCAGCTCTGCATTCTCCTTTCACCTGCGCAAGGGTGGCCCCGCAATGGAGCTTAATAGCTTTGTTGATACTCAGAGCAGGCCAAGGAACGAACCTCAAGTTTGCTTAGAATCAAGGGTCCCATGCTGCTTTGTGGTTAAGCTAATCTAAAGCAGGGGGCTTACTCAGCAATAACTTTCAGACCAGTCGTTCTCAGCCTTTCCAGCTGACTGTCTCTTTTTCAAGACTCTTATATGTCTCATGCACCTCCAAATTTCACCTCACTTAAACATTGCTTGCAAAATCAGGCATTAAAAAACAAAAAAAGGGTTACGACACGTTAGTACTGAATGCTGCTTTCTCATTTTTACCATATCATTATAAAATAAATTGACTGGAATATAAATATTGTAAGTTACATGTTAGAGTATACTATATGGAGCAGCATAAGCAAATCAGGTTGAAATTATAGGCCTTGTCTACACTGTCACGTTTTGTCTTTTGCTAACAAAACCATGAAACCATTTTACACTATAAAAATGCAACTTTTGTTAGGGAAATAACACCCTATTTTGGTGACAAAAAACTTCCAGCCTTGCAAGAGACTTTTGTCTTTTCCCCTCCCTTTATCATCAACAAAGAGCCAATGTGGACTCTGCTGTTTGTTGTCTCCACAGAACTGGCTTCTGCCAGTATCCCACAATGCTCGGCCTGATGGCTGTGCTCAGTGTTTTGTGATCTCTGCTGCCCTGCAGACATACACCCCTCCCCTTTCAAAACTCTGGGACGTATCTGTCAGCTGAGTGAGCTACTCTGTTTATGGAACAAACAAAGAGCAAATCATTGGAATTCTCCTGTTCTGCCCTGCTAGGAACACAACGGCAAGCAGGCTGCTGCTGCAGTGGGAGGGCTGGAGAGACAGCTGTGCTGCTTTGACATTCCTCAGCATGGAGAGCTCACAAAGCTATGAGGGAATCCCAAGAAACGCAGGGATCAGCTCTACCTCCCACAACACTGCACTGTGGAATGCTTCCCCACATTGCTTTGCTAGCTCCCCTGTCGACAGATAGCGCAATATGGCCATGAAGTGTCAACAACGGGAGGCAGAAAAACCAGTCTGACCAGTTTTCACTTTTGCTGACTTTTGCACGTGGATAACACTTTTGTCACCAAACTTTCCCAGTGTAAACATAGCCTTAGTTTGTACTGATTTTGCTACCACTTTTTTGTAGACTGTTGTAAAACTAGAGTAGTAGGGTTGCCAGGTGTCCAATATTGATCCAGACAGTCCAGTATTTTCACTTCCTGTCCAGTAAAAAAAATGAAAATACCGGACACTTAAAATGTCCAGTATTTTCTGATATTTTTTTCCCTGCCAGGAGGTGAAAATACCAGACTTGTCTGGGTCAATACAATATACCTGGCAACACTACATACACACACTCAGCAACTGGGGCCAGCTCTCCCTCTACCCCACTTACCTGGTTCTGCAGGAGAGCTGTCTGGCCCAGAGCAGGAAAACAAGATGGCTGCCAGCAGCCTGTTAAAGCCAAAAAGCCTCAAAGGCTTTTCTGAAAGGGGCCATGCTTAATAACTCTTGGGGTCCTTTTTTTTTTTTGCTCAATAACTCTCAACAGAATTTTTTCCCCTGTGTTTTTTGGGGGAGGGGGGAAATGGGGTGTTCGGTATTTTTGGTTAAACCATCTGGCAACCCTAAACTCTAGCTGAATTCATGTAATCCCCAAAATACCTCTGAGTACCCCAGGGTTATGTTGAGACCATGGCTTTGGAAAATTGCTGCAACAGGTAGTGTAGTAACAGTAACCACAAAATATGTTCAGGAGATAGAACACAATAATACCACCAAAAAAAGGAACAAACAATCTCTAGTTATATCTTGCTTAGGTAGCTGGAAAGGTACAAAAATAACCTAAGAAGTATATAATAAAAGAAGGAAATGGATGAGGATTGGCATGAGAAACAATAAAAGGGAAGGGTATAATTAGCCTAAGAAATCATAGGGGAAATAAGACATCTGCAGAGTAGATGCAAGTTGTCAGTTACCGTCTGCAGCTGTTGATAACTTTCTGCCTCCTCGGGTTTGTTCTGTCTTTACTAACTGTTAAATCAGCTTTGAGTGGACATATTGATTTTTCTGAGGCTTGTTGTTATTGAGCTAATCCAGACTCCAGAGAGCCTCGCACTAAATGTATAATTTTTTATTAATTATTAATTACTAGTAAGGATGTTAAGGATTAGTTGACTATCTCATAAGCAAATGCTTATTGGATAGTCAGTTGACTAGTCGATTCCCCCCCCTTGCTGCCTCTAACAAAGGAAGGGGGGAGAAGGGGTACTTCAAAGCAGCAGCACCACACAGCTGAGCTGGGGATCAGCTGTGCAGCCCTGCTGCTTTGAACCCCCAGGGCAGCATTTCAAAGGGGCAGCCGCCGCACAGCTGATCAGCAGCTCAGCTGTGCAACACTGCCCCTTTAAAACGCTGAAGCGCCGTGGAGCCCGGGGTCAGCTGGGGACTCCTCAGCTAACCCCGGGTTCTGTGCGGCATTTCCCCAGAACCCAGGGTCAGCTGGGGACTCCCCAGCTGATCCCGGGCTCCACG